TATATTATATATATATATAAAAGTGTTATATAATAGTGTAGTATAATGTAAATATAATATAATATAAATATATAATAATAAATTCAGTGTTGCATAATTGCTGCATTTTGATTGACATGTTTCTATTTAATTTAAAAAGGCTTAAGTAAATACTGAATGCATTAATGATGAATTAAAAAAAATACTGTTAATTCAAAAAGTGCTGTTCCAAAACAACAACAAAAAATGACCTTTGAAGAAACAATAATTTCTGAATGTTTTCATAAATGTAGTTCTTTCCAGTGATGGTTACTGAATAGGCTTGAATGATAAGAGGATTAGTTGCCTGAGCTTTTATACTTTAAATTTAAAAAAGCACAGACAAGACTAGCCTAGATAAACATGTTTTTAGATACATTAAGCCCAAAAGTATTTGGACACTTTAGTTACACTTACACTTGTATGAATGTTAATGCATTACATATCAACCCAAGTGGAATTTTTTTTAAGCAAAACATTTCACAAATTGTTGCCATTTAAAACTAGGACAAATGTATTGATTGTCAAATGTTAGTGGTTAATGTGATAAACTACACCTGACTTCACTGAAAATCATTACATACTGTACATTGATTAAAAATCACATTGAGACAGTTAATTTATTTGTGAGAAAAGCTTAAGAACCGTCGGTTTACAGATTCCACTTGGTTTGATATTTTATCTGACATGAATAAATTATTAAGTGTGGCCACTATGTTTGGTATAAATGTGGTAGCATTGTGAATGCAAATTCCAGAAGATTAGTGTTAACATGTTAATTTCCATTTTTTAACACAGTGGGAATCAGTTTTGATAAATATTAAATTCAAAGTGTTTTATTTTTATATTTTGAAGTTTAAAGCAGGATCCCAAATAAACTAATTTCCCCCCTAAAGCGTTCATGCTCATACTGTATGCATGAACATGTACATATTGTCATGCAATGTGGTTAGAGGAATGAAAGGATCAGAGTACATATCTACAGAGCATTCAAAACTCAACAGTTTAAGCTTTAAAATGGCACCTTAGAAAGCAAATTCATTTTCTCAATGTCAGATATACTGAGGAATACTAACATCTCTCATTGTTTGAGCAGATTCTGGCGTGCTGCAGCATGGATGTTATCTAAGCCCAGACAGGTGTTCACAATGGCTCTGTGTCAGAATGTTGTTGCTGTGAACCTGGCTCGGTCTGAGGAACTGCTGTCTCGTATTACAATGCATCATTACAACGTAACAAACAAACACCTTTCCAAAGCATTACTTTAACACAAACGCGACGCTCACTCTCACATAAAAACAACCCCAACACCGAGACAGATGCCAACAACCCGAGCCACAGTGCCAAAGCTAATCTCCTACAATCACTTTGAGTAAACCGAAGCATCATAAAGTAAATATTACATAACACACAGCAGAATGGAGTGATTCAGTCTTTAAATGCATTAAAGTGCCTGAGGAAAGACATGGTGGCTAAAATGAAGATGCTGAGTCATGGTCTAAAGAGCATTCTCTGGGTTTAAAGCCAAACTGAGAGCCAGAGAGCAGGGCATGGGGTTAATATCAGTGCTCCACTTCCTGTGTCTTGGCGCCCATTTGCAATACGGACAGTACAACTTCTATTTTCATCCTTCAATCTCGCTACTGGCCCAAATTCACATTGCATGGTTCTAAACTGCCAGCTTACTGTATCTGTCCATCAAAACACTCGTTTAATATTAAGGTTTCAGGAAAAGGTTACCATAGAAAAATACAAGGTTCTGGAATTCCTCTGCTTTTCAATTACAGAAAGATTGAGTCCAGTCCATTCAAGCAGATTATCAAATATCAAATCTAGGTTATGGATAAAACTCCATTAAGGTATAAATAGCAAACATAATCCTCGCAATACTACATAAAATGCCAATGAACATCCTGAGAAACTGATGTCGTTGTGAACAAAAATGCCAGTTATATATGGCAGACATATATGAGCATATACTCACGTTGCAGTGTGTTCTCCAGCTCCGAGCCTGCCTGCAAAAGGTTGTAATAGCCCTCCATGTCTTTCTCGGGCTCCTGAGGAGAGGCCGAGCCCATTCCCTGGCTGTTCCCGGAGAGGAGTGACTTGACTCTGGGCCCGTCAGGCCCTCACATCCCACTCCACCCTGGATTCATCTCACTACCTCCTCTGAACAAGTCCCAACTGAGGCTTGACTTCAGCTCCGTGCCGCCACTCACGCCTCTGGACTCCCCAAGTCACCTTGAGCAGGAGCAAGTGCATCCAGAGAGACGCCCTGCTGGAGGAAACGGGATCCGGAAATATCTATGGCAAACAGCCTGCTGCAGCCGATAGTGGCACTGCAATATCACATCTCAGCTTACAAAAACCACACACACACACATCAGGGAGGGGCAGAGAGGATGAGGTCCTGTCCCAAAAGTGAATCGGATTAAAAGGGTTTCCTGTCCACAGTGCTGACGGTCTGCCCTCTTTAAAAACACACAGCACACACTCCCTCTGGCTGCAAACTCCCGTGAGTTAAGAGTGCGTCAGATCTGCATCGCTCTTAGACACACACTATTGACACTCTGCCAACTCCCTCCCCATTGACTTTCTCTGCTGTGGAGTTTAGACTCCGCCCCCTGCTGATCTCCACCCTCCTCATTGGTCAGTATTCCCTCACAGGCAGTGGCTTAAATTCTGTTTCTCTTCTCACTGCTGGATCCCTGCATGCTGTATTACACACATTCTCACCCTTACTTTAACAAACACACACACACACACAGGGAGACTGTTCTGAATATCACTATTGACAGCAAAACTATTTTTTCTTCCTAGACTAAGGAGTTTCATTGTTCACAATACAGAAAAGTATGACGCGTGGGAAAATTGCACAAAGACAAACAGCTACATGAATAAGAGGCATTGTTGTCAAAGAACACACTATTTATGCATCTACAAACCGCATCTTGTGCCCATGAGACACTGCTGGTTTGAAATAAGTTAACATATGGCACTGCAGTCTTTATTCATTATGCACATGCTCTGCAATTGTTGGACAGATTTGGAGAGACTAACTTTAACTTCTGAAGACAAATACAGGACAATACCAGAAAAATACCATGGGCAAGAGTTTCATCAAAATTTTGCTTAAGTGTTATTATTATATGAGCTGAGGGTCAAATGTTTGGAATAATTAAGATAAGTCTTCAGTGTCACATGATTCTACAGAAATTATTCTAATATGCAGATTTCCATATCTTACTATTATCAATGTTGAAAGCAGTTTAGATCCTTTGATGAAAAAAAATTCAAAGAAAAGCATTAATTTAAAATATAAATTTTTGTAACATTATAAATGTCTTTACAATCAATTTTGATCAATTTAATGCAAACTTTTTAATGGTAGTGTATCAGTTCCCACAAAAATATTAAGCAGCACAACCGTTCGCAACATTGAAAATCAGCATATTAGAATGATTTCAGAAGGATCATGTGACACTGAAGACTGGAGTAATGGCTGCTGAAAACTTAGCCTTGCCATCACATCAAAATATTACTTTTTACTGTACTTTTTTATCAAATAAATACAGCCATGGTGAGCATTTGGCTGCTAGTATTGTTTTTGTTATTATTATTATTATTATGAACTTCCAACGTTTACTCATGAACATTAAGATTTTAGACATATTTTTATTAAGATAAAGTTATACATAGATGCACATTTAATGCACAAAATAATAAATAAACCAACCAACAAACAAATAAAAACAACAAAACAACTATTATGTCACTCTAGGTGCTGTAACTGGTTACAATTGTTTTGAAATTAGTAACTTTTTTTAAGCTTTTGTCCATTAAGTCCTATAGTGTGACAAATTCATTTTTAAACAAAAATGATGATGCTGTTTTAGTTACTCTGAAGCCATATAAAGCACATGTATAACATTTCTACATGGTTTAGAAAAAATATATAAAACTTCAGACACAAATGTCTTCTTTCAAAACAGACTTTTATTAAAGAAAAAAGTTTGAAACAGACTGGTCTTGAGAGGTACATTCAGATCAGCTGGAGCCTGAGGGACAGGATGGAGGAAGCAGGGCTGACCGTGCTAGTGCCTGATTCATTTCACAGCAATGCACCTGAGCCCTGCCTCATGCTCCACAATCAGGCCGCCTTTCTCAGCCTTTTTTTTTTTTTTTTTTTTTCTTTTTCCACGCTCGCAGTGCACGCCGATTGCCCCCTCGGAGACATTGCGTGCGTGCTC